GTTGACTTCAGGTTTCACAGAGGGGAGGAGGAACATCAAACTCAAAAAAACCGAGAGGGGAGGGGGAACAGAAGAGTGTTTCAAAGATGTAAAAGAGACAGACAGACATAAAGCTAGAGAAAAAGGTAAGAGGGATACTGTGGTAGTGGTGGAATATGACATAAGTCATGGTAGTTTGAAGTCAGAAGTCAACTGCCGAATAATAGTCCATTTTGCCGTATGAGTATATGTTGCCCAGGATGCACCACGTGGAGGTAAGTCTATCGTATTTGGAATACGAACCGACCTTTCAAGTTTCCATCCATTTAAGAGATCTGGGAAGCTCTGTGGGAGGTTGGGCTTACCTCTTCATTTTATTGACTTTCCTTTCTCTCCCATATCACTCCCTTGATCAAAAACTAAAAGTTTGGAAACTCATCATGGAAGCAGACATCTGATAGAGCAACAAATTTTAGGAAGGGTAATCGCATTGTCGAATACCTCTTTACACGTTTCATATACACAAAAATGACGATATTCCGTTAAAAGATTTCATAAGCTACCACTGACTGACACTGCGTTCCTTGTTAAACTTTCATTCTCCCTTTGAGTTTACCCCTTGAAGGCGATTATTCCATTCGATTCTTCCACCTCAGTAGTATTTCCGCTTATTTTCTGCTTTATATTTACTTTCCTTGAGGTGACATCTTAGTCCGCTTGTTATCGTTACAAGGCCTGAAATTCTGCCCATAAGCCTTCTCAAAAAACACGAACAGGAATACTGTTTCGGGAGAATTGACTTTAAGCTCATGCCATTGCATATCAAAAAAACTGCCTTTTGATCGAGCTCATAATTTTCTTCTAATTTCTACAGCACCCTTATATGGTGATAACTGTTCTGTTATTTGAACACAGTAGAGGAAACTAGAAAATCAGTTAGAGTAGTAACAAAAAACATTTGTTTATTTATTTTAAATGGTAGGCTTTATGGTGGTTATCATTAACCCTTTAGCTGACTTCGGGCTTCACAGAGGAGAGGAGCATCAAAGTGAAGAAAATTAAAAAAGGAGAAACAGAAAAGTGATTCAAGGATGTAGAAGAGATAGACACACACAAAGGCAGAGAAAAGGTAAGGTGAGCACTATGGAAGTGGTGGAATATGACATGAGGTGGGGTCATGGTAATTTGAAGTTAGAAATCAACTGCCGGTTAATTGACTCTTTTGCCGTATGAGCATACGTTGCTCAGGGTGCATCACGTGAAGGTATGTCTATCGCACACCCCGTAACAAAAACCATTAGAAGGTGAAATGAGTAAACATTTGGAAGAAAATGATGATGAAGGATGAAACATCACAATATAGTGCACTGGGTCAAAGTGTCCTTGTTTCAAAAACACAATTTGACTGCACCAAAATTGTAACGTCTTTGCATAATCGCCCAGCGCTAGTTTTAGAAGTTTACAATAACAAGGGTGAGGGCAAATGGACTTTGTAATAAGGACAGACACTGATATATTATTATTTCAAATGGCAGGCGTTTTGAATAGTTATCATTAGCCCTTAAGCTGACTTCGGGCTCCGCAGAGGGAGGAACATCAAAGTAAGAAAAATTCGACAGGGGGAGCAAAATAGTGGTTCACAGATGTAGAAGAGACAGACAGACAGACACAAAGGTAGGGACAGAGGTGAGGTGAGAACTGTGAAAGTTACAAATGTAGAAAAAAGGTGAGGTGAGTACTATGGAAGTATACAGACTCAGAGGTAGAAAAAAGGTGAGGTGAGTACTGTGGAAGTAGACTAATATGCCATACAGTGGGTCATGGTAGCTAGAGTCAACTGAAGGTAGAAAAAAGGCGAGGTGAGTACTGTGGAAGTGGTGAAATATGACATACAGTGGGGTGATGGTAGTTTGAAGTCAGAGGTATATGACATACAGTGGGGTGATGGTAGTTTGAAGTCAGAAATATAGACTTTTTTGCCATATTAGTACTGTATTTTAGTACTGTTTTTCACTGCCTCCGCAAATTTGTCAAGTTTACACGTCTGAAGTCTGTTTCACCTCAACATGCATTGACTGGAAATTGCCAGAAACGGTATTTTTTCCATTTTGGTGGGAGTTAATTAAATAATTGAATTGGCACCATGTGAGGGCTAATCTCTATGTAACTGGCAAAGTAGTTCTTTGCATTCCACATATTATCTTGCCAAATTGGAAAATCTTTCGTCTTCTTCATTGTTGGCATGGAATATGACGAGTCTGAGAGACAGAAATCGGTGGTGTTAGCTGTTTCAGCCTTGACAGACGTCTTGGAAGGTGATTGGCAGCTAACTATATCTCACAGTTTCATTAGATAGTTCTCTGAGACAAAGCAATGGTAAGCAGAGTTCACTGGAAGCGGATGAAGAGACACGAAATACGGGGTCCGAGAAGGTGTGAGACTAATGAGGGGGGGGGGGTTATGATGTGTGTTGACATGGGTATATTTATTTATATCAAATGACAGGAGCTTTGGTAGTTATCATTAGCCTTTTACTTGACTTCGAGCTTCACAGATGGGATGAACATCCAAGTCACAAAAATTTGAGAGGAGGGAACAAGAGAATGATTCACATCTCTAAACTCGGGAACCGATTCCAAGATCTCCAAACCTCCCAATACCTCTACCCCGTTTAAAGCGATTAACGCGAACCATACATACTTGTTTGCGCTAATTCAATGTCAGCTTAATTCAATTCTTTACAAGTTTCTTTTTTTAATTCTCTACCTCTTTGCATGAGAACACTAATCCACCAGGTTTGTGCCTAAACTGTCACCCACACTAAACATTCGACACTTTCAATTTATCCGGAAACTGCAAATCACGTATCAAGTTAATCACTCAAATTAAGCCAAGCCTCTTGAAGGCCCACAATGGTTTTGTAGGTAAGCTTTTGGATACAGTAGGCAGATAAACGTTCCAAATTCCGTCGTGAGAGTTTAGTACAATCCTCGAGGTAGTCGTAAGCCAAATCTCAGAGGAAATAGGGAGAAAAAAGAGACTGACCAGTTCCTTGTCTACTCAACAAACAGGGCTCTGATAAGCCGGGAGAGAGACATGATAGATTAGACAAGCCTTGATAGCCGTTTTGAGCACTCATTGCCAACTGAAGACCTAACAGACTAAACATCTGTCTACCTTTGTTTGAGTACATAAGGTTACAAAAATTGATAAATCCCTCGCCTTAACGAGCACTCCCCCCCACCTCTCCCGAGAGCGTTATTTTAGGAAATATACCTGCTGTATAACCCGAATTAAACAAAACAAAATGCAGATTGCGAATATATATTGACAATATATTATAAGTAATAACACATTAATCTTTCCATATACACGAATAGCATACGTATAAGAAACATAAGTACAGGATACGGGATAAATTTCTCTCTGTGTACACAAAAAAGGTAGGGTGAAATAATCTTTTTTTTCTTCGCATCTCTCACCAACCATCTGACGACTTCTTCCGCATATTCAAACCCCTGAGTCCGCCTCCAATTCCAACTATGGAAGCGTTCTTTGAAACTATGGACTGACCTCCAAGACCCTTCTGCTGGTGATTATGATGAAAATGCCCCATTTCAGAGGATCCTGAAGTCCCATTCACGGCGTTCAGAGCTCGCGTTCGTTCAAAGTCGATTTGAGCGTAAGGAACTTGACTTTCTATTGTTGATGATGAACAGGGATTCGGGCATGGAACAATAGGAGCCCTCTGTTCCTTTTCTGAAGAACTTGCCGTGGATGAAGACGAAGCGGGACTTTCACAGCCTACTAGTGAAGAAGGGTTTGTCGAAGTAGAAACTGCCGCCGCAGCTGTAGCATCTTTCTTTGTCATTATATGGACGTAGTTCAACGTAGGAACGGGAAGGACAGCAGTGAGGGAATGGGATAAAGTTCGCCGATGATTGGAGGCAGTTCTGGGGCGATTTCCCCCACCATTTGAAACTATTGTAGCCGCGGAAGAAGAGGTAGATGTGTTTGTATGGAGTGTAGATGCACTGGAATCTGTTTTATTTCCACCACTTCCAACCAACATTCCACTTCCCGTCGTCTCGGAGTTGATAGACAGCGCGTCCTCTGAGGTAGATACCAGGGTTATTATGTCGCCAGGAGTGATTACAGAGCTAGCGGGACTTGGACGAAGGTCAACCAGAGCATAATTCCGTCGGGGTTCACGGATTTCGTCAGGAATGAGGTCATTTGAAGGACGAGAACTTCGCCATCGTGTTTGATATTGCTGGAGGGTTGAAAAGGGGGAGGGAGTCAAGGATGTGGGAAGATGTTGGAGATTTGCGTACGCTCCTCGTTCCTCTTGGAATGCCAAGGGGTATTTCAGGGGATTCGGAGGGAGGCAAGCTGGACCTGTACCTGCTGAGAGATTGCAATAGGAGGTGTGGGTTTGTGGGGAACTTGGGGAGGATGCTTGCGATGTTGAACAGGACTGAAATACAGCAAAAACGTCGACGTTAGGCTAGACACTATTCTTTAATCGCCAATAGTCCTGATTCTACTTCGCATTTGTTATTGCAAGAACGCAAAACGAATGTCATTACTAATAATAATGATATACTGGTTACGGTTAGTCAAAAGGGGACCATTCAAATCACGATGATTCACAGGTCTGTGCGTCATAGTTGTCACATGGGGATATATAAAGTTGAACCTGTCAGCTCCAGCCATCGTACCTTTTTCCGATCAGTTTAAACATTCTCGCGTCCAAAAACGCAGTTTAAGCGTTAATTACCACCCCACTCCCCTCTCCAATTTCCCTTCCTAGCTCATTCCTCTAATACAACAATGGCTTATGAAGATCGCCAACAAAAATGGCAGTTAGAATACATCTTAAGCTCGTACACGTGATCTATTCCGACTAATTACCTTCTATCACACTATCAAATATTTTATCCAGTTTGCTGACTGAAAACTAGAAAAAAAACGCAACAGCCACCTACAAGAAATGCCTGTACCTCTCACCCCCCCCCCCACACCAACCCCAACCCCAAGATAATATCGAAACCTTAAAAACCATTTCAATCAACAGTTAATGGAAGGAAATCAAGTGTCCAGCAAAAAAACACTCACGGTCGAAGAGGTGTAGAACGCTCCTCGTCGATTTCCAGAATCTGGAACATCTCTTGCCGCCGATGGGCCCAGCTTTCCAGCAGGAAATACAACAGGAGCTGTCTGATGATGATGCGCCCGCCTAGAAATACTCGGTAGTGTACTGCTACCATTTCCACCTCGAATTAAATTCGCATATGCATGATAATTCGTGGATTGCTGCTGTTGATACGGTGGTTTATGTTCCGCGGGGGCAGCTGCTACCTTCAAAGACTGATTCACTCGCGACTTAAGACGAGGTCGATTTGTCGGAGAGCCACAGTAGCAGCAAAAGGATGAGGTAGAATTCGAGATCGGATTTGCGCCGTCATCGATTTCGCTGTCTGGGCCGAGATAGAGAACAGACCACGGCCGAGAAAGACTGATCTTTGCATGGGAAGAGCATTGAGACTGAAACAAACAAAATATAAGTGCTACTTATAGAATATCAGGCATATTAATACATGACTACTATTAGAGTCAGGAATTGACATCTCATTCAAATCCAAGAACCCTACGACTGTCACCTAGTCATGAATTCGCATAAAGTCCGCCCTATCTCTTCCGTGAAGTTTCTTTTACTTAGATAAAACTTGAAGACAATAGCTAGGAAGATTTATAAAAACAGAAGCAAAGGGAAATCTCCATTGAAGCTTAAATAAGTGATTTCCGAAAAGAATCAGTTGAGGAGGTGGCAAGGTCACAGTATTAATGAAAACCTTAGGCTTACCTATAGACAAGCAACTTCAATGTGTTTTTTAATGAAAAGATCGTAGCGGAGAGAAATGGCTCTACGAAGACCCTGATAAGCCTTGTTCTACTTTCAATGATAAGGAGTGTGAGATAGATTTATTTCCACGTGGTGCATCCTTGCCGACGTATACTCATACAAAGGCAACAAAGTCTATAAACCGGTAGTTGACTTCTCACTTCAAACTACCATGACCCCACTGTATGTTCCATTCGACTAATTTAACAGTACTCATCTTACCTTTTCTCTGCCCGTGTCGGTCTGTCTCCTTTACATCTCTGACTCCCTCTTCTGTTCCCCCTCCCCACTATTTGTGACTTCGATGTTCCCCCACTCCGCTGTGAAGCACGAAGCCAGCTAAAGGGCTAGTGGTGACTTTCAGAAAGCCTGCAATCTCACATAAACTTTCTTTAATAATTATACAAAGATAAAACACAATGTGTTGAGGTATTTGCTATTATGTCGTGTTAGAAGGAATGTGCGATAGACTTACCTCCACGTGGTGCACACTGGGCAATGGCAAAAAGTCTATTAACCGACAGTTGACTTCTGACTTCAAACTACCATCACTCCACTGTATGTCATATTCGACTACTTCCACAATGCTCACATCACCTTTTTCTACATTTATGTTTGTCTCTTTTACATCTTTGAAACACTCTTCTATTCACCCC